CGTATGGCCAGATAGTACCCATCATGCCTGCTCTGGTGTCAGATCGGGACCACCAGTGGGATTTGGCACTGCCCATCTGGTCCGCTGGAGAAAAAGATTAAGCACCCCAAGGTTAAAAGAAAGGAAGCAAAGGAAGATAGGGTCACTACTCGGGATGGATGGAAGTGGGGTCCCACAGGCATCTGAGCTGGGCCTAGTTTTGTTCAACACTTCTATCAGTGACCTGGAAATGGGTGTGCACAGTGAAATCTCCAAGTTTGCAGTTGATACTAAATTATTTCAGGTAGTCAAGAAGAGCCACTGAAAGACCTCACCAAGCTAAGTCAGTGGGCAGAAAAATTGCAAATGGACTTAAATGTCAACTAATGCAAGGGAATGTGCGTGGGGAAAAATAATTTCAATTATACATGCGCAATGTTGCGTTCTGAACTAATTGTTATGATTTAGGAAAGAGACCTTGTAGTCATTGTAGATCTGTAAAAACATCAACCTTGGTGTGTATTGGTGACCAAAAAAGCTAATAAAGTGTTTGGCTTCAGTAAGAAGAGAATTGAAAACAAAACCAAGAATACTATTATGTCACTCTACAAATCCATGGAGTGCCAACATTTTTAACGCTGTGTGCATTTCTGGTCTTTGCATCTCAAAAGGTGTAGCAGAATTAGAAAAGATACAGAGGAGGGCAGTCAGGATGATCAGGGGTATGGAGCAGCTGCTATGCCAGGAAAGAATAAAAAGGCTAGGACTCTTCAGTTTGGAAAAGAGAAGGCTGAGCAGGGGTATGATAGAGACCTGTCAAATGACGAAGAGTGTGGTCAGAATGAATAAAGAACTGTTATCCACCAGGGCCCAGAATATTAGAAATAGGAGGCACCCAAGTGAAGTTAGCAGGAGACGGGTTTAAACCCAACAAGAGAAAGTACTTTTTTTTAATGCAGCGTGTCATTAACTTGTGGAACTTATTGCTATTGGTAGTTGTAGAAGTAGATAGGATAGCTGGGTTTGAAAAGGGATTAGGCAAAGTCATGGATGGTAGATCTATTAATAGGTATTAAATTAAACACTCAGGGATGTATCATCTGGCATCCCTAAACCAATGATGGTGGATGCTAGGGGAGGCATGATGGGATAGATCTCTCTAGATATATTCTGTTCATATGCTGTCCCTCTAAAGAATCCACTCCAGCTGGTGTCAGAGACTGGATACTGGGCTGGATGATCCATTGGTCTGATCCAGTATGGCACCTCTGTTCTTCTGCATAGGATACAAAAAAGGGCAGCCATCTCTGGATCTACTTTGTCAAATCAATTTGTGGCCAAAGATCGAAACACCTTGAAAAAACTTGTATTTGCTTCTGTCTTTTTCTCTAAGGCAGTTAACCTAGGGAGCAGCTTGTATTTAGTTGACCAGACCAGGCTTCTTTCTGCTAGAGTAGTCAGTTGGCAACAAGTGAATTCTGTTTGCCAGTCCCATTGCAAGAAGGTGACAACAAAAGACACCATAACCTTTAAAGTTTTCTGATGCTTCAGCGTAGCCTATCCTAGCCTGTTGCTGGTTGTTCAGAAACATATCCTTTTTAAGTGCTGCATGTTAGGGTTCAACTATACATGGTTTATCCTTTATGTACAGCAGGGAGCTTGGGACTGTTTAATTTTTAAAAAATAATTCTCTAGTATTCTGACTGATCATTGGTGACTCCTTTCAGATGCATGATGTAGAGGAGTGGGATTTTTGGTTGGCATTACCCTTAGATTCAGTTCTTTAAATTGACTAATGGAGTTGTTAGCTTTGTAGCTATTCTGGAACGATTTCTGCTAAAAAGCTAGAGTTGGCTGATGTCTTCAGAATGTTTAGGTCAGGGTTGGGTTCTTCTTTAACTTTGGTCACGTGTGGTTTCAAGAGAGAGAATTTTGAAAGTTGGTTGATTTTAATCTAGCATTTGAAAAAGGGCATCAAAGATAAATAACCCTATTTTCTCAGGGAACATTAACCATTGAGGACCACCTAAAGACTTAATAGTGTGTGGGGGGGTGTTCAAGATTGGTTCCACAACAGTGTCTGCAATTGGTTATGTATATGATGCTTTGGGGATTCTTAACAAGCAGATTATTTTACTGATAGTGTAGGTTGAAACAGTGAGTTTATGCTAAAATGTGGATCTTCAGATTTCATGCTTTCGAAGGTAAGTTTTTGCAAAAGGAGATCCAAAATGAAATCTCTTCTTCCCCAAGTCTGTCATAGACCATTATATATTATATCAGACAGACTATATGCTTTAGAGACATGCCAGTGAAAAACCTTTTCCTTTGCTTGGAAACACCATGTATAGTTTGTTAGTGGCAGGGTAGTAGAATTTGATAAAACAAATGTCTGATTTGGTGTGGCAAATCTTACAGCCCTCCCATAATTGTTGGCTGTAAGGTGATTGCTTTCACTGAGAAGCACCACTAACTCTGCATTAACCAGAGGGAAGCTGGCCACTGCTCAAGTGCCATTCTCTTTGTCAGGGATTTGTTTTATGATGATATCTCATTTGACCCAATGCTTTTTGAGATAAGTAAGGGAAAAGGTGAACAGGTTCATCTGTTTGCATGCAGTCAGTGTGCGCCAGGAGTTGGGATTATGGCTGAGCTCTAGACAGTGGGAGGAGGCTTACTGCTGACTAGATCTTGCTTGGCTGGTTTTGATATCTCTTCATGTTTCTGTATACATGTGGACAAGGAAGTTCTTTCCCAGCTAGCGTGTTTGGTTCATGTTAAAACGAGCACCCTTCTTTTGTTTAAATATAAGATTTTTGTTGCTACTGTATGTGGTAAACAAGACTTTGAATAGACTTTTTCCTTTCCCCAAAAGGCTTGAAAGGCACTTGGATGCCTAACTCATGCTGAAAGCCATATGTGCTTTTTCAAATCTATCATCAGTTACTGTGATTTGAACCTAGTCCAGTTAAAACTGACCTGTAACAATTTCCTTTCCAGTTCTTCACTTCTCGTCTTAAATACTAAAGATCTAATTCTTGATTATTGCCTCAGCTGACTAAACTAGGATGATGTGCACTAGTGTTAATAGTATGAGCAGATGTGAATCTGCACTCTTGCTAGCTAAAATGGGATTAAGTATCAGAAGGTGTGTGATCTGTGCTTGGACTTGCCTAAGCACAAATTTCAGTAATGAATTAGTCATCATCACATGTGGACCGTATTTCCCTAGGGTAACTGATATTGAAGTGGGTACAACCCAGCTGTCAGTTCTTGCTGATGCAAGAATTCTGCTAGCCGAGTTTTTCCTTGTGTTAAAAAATGGCTAAGTACCTTTATTTTGGTGCTTTAACGGGGACTATGGAATCTTGTGAGTGCTTGAAAGTTTGGGCCTTTTATCTGGCTTGTTGTTAATAGTATGTGTGAAATTAAAAAGGTTAATAAATACACGATACTAAAGGATAGAGATCTCATGACATTTCTGTAATCCCATACATAGAAAGGTATTTCACTGAAACCTATTTCAGCCTAGTCAAAGTATGCTAAGGGGATTGACCTTTGCACCCAATTTCAGGATTGATTGGCATAGCTATTCAGCTAGCAGGGAAGAGATGCTGCAGATCTTATCACCCTCCTATTGGCTACAGTTTTCTTAATTTCTGTCCTGTTGTATCATGTTATGGGGGGGTGTTGGTACTTTTGTGAGCACCTTAGAATGCATCAAATGTGTGAGTTGGGGGCTGAAAATGATAATCGGAAGGATTCTGTTGTCTTTGTTACAAGGTTGACATTAGTTGGTCAGGATGGGCTCTGAGCCTGGCTTTGATTTGAGTGGCTACAGTTTTGGGATTGTGTTGCAAGTATAGGAAACCCTGTTGTAAACTTTCGAGGTGTGCCTTCTGGTTAGTAGGATCAGAGCAGATATTGTTGTAGAGGGTGGCTGTGTAGGCGATGGATCTAGTGGTGTACTTAGGATGGGAACTTGTAACATGGATGTAGCTGTAGTGGTCAGTTAGCTTCTGATACAGTGTGGTGGTAGTTTGGCCCTTGCAAAGAAATGAATTTGTTGGGTCAGTTTGAAGGAGTGGTGGAAGGTATTAAGCTGAACATAACTTCAGAACAAGAAATCATCCATAGACTGAATTATATTAAACTTGGTCTCAACAGGGACTATACATTTGAATTCTATTACCTGGACTAACTAGTTCTCCAGTGTCCCTCCAGGTGTTAACATCACTTATTATGTTTCTTAGCAGCATCCCCTCCCCCTGTCCCTTTCCTTTCTGTATAAAATCTTTTCTGTCTTTCAGACTGTTCTTGCCATCTGACAAGTAGGTTGCTGCGTATGAGAAGTTGTATGTGTCTAGCCTAGTCAGTCTCAAAGGGTGGAAATGGACGTCGCCTTTTGTCACTTTGTACTGCCATAAAAAAAAAAATGATGGGGGCAGAAAGGCCAGCCAAACAGATGTCCATACCTCTTGTCACGACACATATAATAGCTGTGACAAAGGTGGTATCAAGTTGTGCCGCTGTTTAACAGCAGGTGTTTGTTTATGGTGTGATCTTATAGGCAATCCGGAGTTGCCTGTGCTCTCCAGCCACCCTTGGTAAGTGCATCAACAGGTGGGAAAATGGGTGATGTGCACTTCACTCAGTGAAGCAGATCAGCTGGGCCAGGGCATATCCTGTACACCTGATCTCGTTCGTTTGGCGATGTCTGTTTTAGCCTACAGTACCACCCAGTCCTGCCTTCCAGTATATGGTGGGAAAGTAGCACATGAGTTGCTCAAGGTTTTAGGTGAAACTTAAGCCTATGGGTCTGTGTAATATTCAAAATTATATTTTTTGGTAGAAAAATGATAATACTGTACATCCGTGCTGTTAGTTTGCCTTAACTTTGAAGTTTTGTAGAGCAGTGCTTCTCAAACTATCCAATGTGACAGACCAGCAATTTTTTTTCCAGTGGGCCAGGCACCAGTGCCCGGTTCAGCCGGTGGCACACAAATGCGCGACTGGCTGTTTCTTTCTCTTTCTTCACCTCGCATGACATGACATCACCTGGAGTGTTGGAACTTACGAACTGTGGCACTGTGACACATCAGTGTTATGCTTCTGAACATATATTTCTTTCTTTCCTGGCAACTCACTGCAGACCAGCGACCGGTGGCTCGTGGACCGGCACCGGTCTGCGGACCACCACTTTGAGAAGCACTGCTGCAGAGTACATAGTTGGTGTGTCTTTGTGTGGTCTTGTATGATTCTTATAGCATCTTTGTGTTTGTTATACACCAACTTCAGTTTTCAAAACTGTACCTTTGTCTTTCAGCAAGCCTCACCCTGAAATGTATTAAGTGGCTAAGTTGTATGGAAAGCTGCACTTTTTAGATAAGTTTTCTAATGGAGCTTTTAATATTAGCCTTTCTATGGTGGAATTACTTGAGTTTAAACTATACTGAACATTGACACCATGTTTCATGATGTGACCTTTGCCGTTAGTTAAAAAAAAATCAGTTGGAGAAATGAGGCACGCCTCCTTTTAATACTAACTAAAAAGAGACAAACTCAGAATCCTTATTAAAAAAAAGAGAGAGCTTTAAATTCCATCCTTGCCCCAGGTTTCTTTGCAAGTATTTATGTTCTAATTGTACTTTACTATTTATTTCCTCTGCATTTTGAAAGCTGTGTGTAACAAAGGAAATAGACTACCTTTTTGAACAAAACATGCTATCAAATACAAACCTTTTTTTTTAAATTTCAGTCTTAGTTTTTATCAGTAAGAGGTGAAATACCTTACAGGTAGAGAAAAGATTGTTATTTAAATAGAGTTAATTGAATGTTAACCCATTTTTTCTGACTCCTAAAGATGCCCATTTTGATTGTCTGAGTACATGAAGCACGCATGTAAATCAAATGCACAAGGTAGAAGATAATGGAAAATGAGAAGGTGGTGGGTTTTAGATGGCAATCAGGTGTACAGACTGCTGTTTTCCTGCTGTTGCCTATCATTTTTTTTTTAATCTCAAGTGGAACTTTGTGATCCTATTTCATGCAAAGAAGTTAGTAAAAGTGAGAAAACACTTGAGGCAATCTGTTAGGTATTAGCTTTTGGCTTTCTGGTTTCTGAGTTATGTACTGGTTTGGGTTCATAGTACAGTTGCCTTAATAGAAAGTACAAAACCAACAGGGCAAAGGATAGTCTTTTACAGTCTGCCAGTGCTTATTTGATTGAAACCTGTGTTGAAGAAATTTAGCTTTTTTTTTTAATGGGTGGGTTTTTTGTTTTTGTTTTTGTATGTCGTTCAAGGTTTACATTGGTAGATGCACTAAAATTCCATTCTTCCTTTTTATGAGGAAGTCCATGATGCTTTGTGGTGGTGTCTGCACACTGGTCCATAGCCGGTTAATGCCTGCATTGTTTGCTGGATTACAGCAATACTAACTTAATTATTATAAACTGTGAACCTACCTTGATTAAAAAATACTGTCTTTTAGTATCTTTTAATCAAGGTACAATCTTCAGTTTGCTAGCCTGGAAAAATGTGTAGGAGCATCATCTTTGCATTGGTATTTGAGTCCTGCAACATCTGAAAGGTTGAAGGCTTTTTGGTGCAGTGGTAGGTAACCTTTTCTGGCCGTAAGTTAGAATGACCCACCCTGGGTTGGAGGTGGGTAAGTGAGTGGGTTCCAGAACGCTGCTGCAGCCTGTGTTTGTCTTTTGCAGTGCCACAGGGAGAGGACCCACAGCCAGAGTTCATCCCTGCCACTGAATGCTGCTGAAGCCTCACCCTGCAGGATATAGGTTGTCAAGCCCTGTTCTGGTGCATTCATTAGTATTTAGCCTTTTCCTTTCTCCTGCCCTACTAGTATTAACACAAGGAGAGAAGTTTGAATAGTTCAGTCAAAATGCTTGATTACTGGTGACATGGCCTGACCTTTTTTTAAGCCAATGCTGAGGGGTGGGGCAGGTGGATTGGAAACCACCCTCCTCTGCTCCCCCTGCCCCCAGGTTGGGGAGCTCCAATCCACCCATCCCACCCTCCAGTGCCGACTGGGGAATGCCTAGAATGCGCTGCCTCTGCTTCCTTCCCCCCTCCCCAATTCTGAAGACAGTGCCCAGGCTGGGAGGGAGGTGGGTCTGTTGCTAGGGGAAACCAGCTGCAGGCTCCCAGTAAACTGTTGGGTCCAGGGGATCATTGTAACTCAGAATGCTTCCTACGAAGTGTTAGGAGTTACAGCGGGGAGCTGCTTCTCTGTCTGTGCCCATAGTGATCTTACAAATACAGAGTTCATGCATTTCAAAAGACAATCAGCTTTGTTACTATTCTAAAATCTTTTCACCTACTATTCTAAAGTCTTTCTTTTGAGGGATGCTTTTGCAAGATGTAGGCTGACTGCAGGATTTGAGTTTTCAGAGTCTGTTTACCAAGATAAATAGTTTGGTAGTTGATCAAAAAAAGCAGGGGGTGGGTGAGAAGCTTAATCCTGCTGTAGAGCTGAACTATCAGCTGCAGATAACGTAGGGTTACCATACATCTTCTTTTTGCATCCTCCTGTCTCCGTCTGGGTTTGTTTTTTGGGGGGTGTTTTTTTTAAATATCAGGGATTTAAAATGTCCAGGATTTTGTTCTGCCTCTGCCCCAGCAAGGAGCTGCTTGGGGCAGCGGGGAAAGATGATTGGAGGCAGGGCATCATGTGTTCTGTGATTGAGCCCAGCTGCAGGGTGGGGGCAGTGTGCGTCTGTGCATGCCTGCCGGTGCTGGGGCTGCAGCAGGGCAGGGGAAAGGGGTGAGGGTTCTTCGGGAACAGCAGGGCTGGGGGGAGGGGGCAGAGGGCTACGGGTTGGGAGTGAGGGGCACGGGCAGGGCTGGGGGAATGGGCCTGTGGGTAGGGAGTGAGTGGCGGCAGCAGCAGGGCGGGGAGGGCTGTGACTGGGGAGTGAGGGGCAGGGGGAGGGTATGAGCATATCACTCCCCCCCACAATCGTATATCTCCCCACAGATGTCTTTTCTGAAAATGAAAATATGGTAACCTTAGATAACACCAATTCTGAAACAGGACAGATGCTCAGAGTTCTTGATAGGATAACATGAAGAAGGATTTTTAGGAGAGGTACTGATCTTTGCTAGACTTCAGTAAGTGATATTAAACTGGATTGAGAGAGGTAGTTAACTGTGTTAGTCTGAAGTCGGGCAGAACGTGAGATGATTTAGTTAGTCTGTAAGGTGTAAATCTACCCTACCCTCTGCCATTATACTGGAATGTCATACCCATACAGAATGCACAGAGTGGGGAGTTTGTATCTTTTAGCTGCTACTATGAGACATCAGTTATCTGCTGTTTGGCTTTTTAGAACACTTATGCTTTTTTCACGAAAATACCAAGTGAATAAATATTCTACAAATAAATCTTCATGGATGCAATTTCATGTTTCTTGTTACATTTTTGTACTCTCTGTATGTACACAATAGGTGGAAAATCCATCAATAATAGAAAGGATGAAAATCTTCTTTCCTTTTGTTCCAGACCATCAGAATTGAGCTTTTTGCCTCTAAGTCCAGGTTTTATAACTTACCAAATGTTCTAGTCTAAAATATACTTACTATGGAAACTTTGCTCAAATGCAGCATTTGCCTTTCTATGGTGCTCTTTTCCTAACTTTCATGTGAAGCACAAGCAGATCAAATTAATTTCCTCAATCCACGTAGCAAGGCTGTATTTTAATCAGTCAGCAAGCCTGCAGTTTTTCCCTCTAGTCCTTAGATTTTCATGTTTTACTATGTACGCTGCTGTATGCTGACATGTAGTGCTGCTCTTCAGAAGTTTAAAGTAAGTTTGGCAAGGTGGCCAATTACCGGGTCATATATTGTCAGTTTACTGGCCAGTCAAAGATCGGTGAAATATTACAGGAAGGCTTTCTGTGATTATAGCAACTAGGGATGTAAATATTGTTTGAAAAATTAGCCGTTTAAAGTCTTCTAATGATATTGGTTAACCGTTTAACTGACCAAACTTTAATCTATTGACCAAACTTTATTTGATTGGTCAAATACCCAATCCTAGTTTAAAGGGTGTGTGAGACTGCAAAGAACTGCAGTTTTATGCAGTGGAACCTGATTTGAAAATAGTGGGCCAAATTCCACTCCCTACAGGAGAAACCAGTTCTATGGAAGTCATTTTGCACTTGCATCCATTATCTCCATGTAGCTCCACTTGCTCAAGCTGAACCAGCTATCATGCTTTTCTTTCCAACTGCAAGGGTACTTTTAGGTTTGTATTGGAATGGAGTCTTTGACATGTGAAGCAAAAATTATTTGACACTGAGTATATTTACATTAACTATTCCCTCTGAAAATGGACATGTGGTTTACCAGTAGAACTGAATGCCTTTCTAGTGACTTGATTTTAGCTTTCTGGCCTGTCTGTATGATAGATAGCTTTTGCTGACGTGGGCGCCTTAATTAAGAAAGCCTTTAGAACAGTGTTAGTACATCTGTGGCCCCTTATACTGGTGCCTGGGCCCTTCCCCACTTGAATAAAAACAGAATAATTATAATTTAAATTTATTTATAAAATCAAAGTAATTTTTAAATGTTGAGGATAACCTTTTATCTGAGACCTAAATTTAAATTAAGTGACATTGAACAAGTTATAGTGAGTTCACCTACTAAACAAATGTTTGCTTGATATGAGTGGTGGGTGTTTAGCATGTATTAAATCACAGTCAGTGGTGTTCAGCTATTGTTGCTGTAAGCCATAAAGCCAGTGGTGTGGCTGGAAAGAGAAAAGCATTGGAAATGACTAGTAGCCATCTGTTTTAAGGCTCCTAGCAGCCCTGAAACTGACTTCTAGTTGACTGATTATCTACCAGGGTTGTGAATGGCAAGGTAATTGCTCTGTAATAAGGCATAATGAGGTGTGAACTGCTGAGCACATGCTGTGTCTCAAAAGCTAACCAGCCTGCTTAATGGGCTTAAGCTATGTCTTTAGTACTGAGATCAATGGGAGATGGCAAATAGAGCATGCAAGTTATTTGCTATGATTTTAAATGACTGCCTGAGTTAGCCATGGGTGCCTTAAGAGGTGGTTTTGACTGAAATAAAGTACTTTTTTTAAAAAAACAGTCAGATGTTGTAAATTGCTTCCAAGGTTCTTTGAGTAGATATGATATCTTTAGTTGATATCTTAAATTGTTTCCAGTACTTAGCTTGGCCATCTCTAAATTACCTTGCAGTTTATAGCCATATCCTTTATTTAGTTTTTAAAGTCATTGCTTTTAATTGTTATCAGCCAATTTTCTTCAGGAAACAATACAAATGTGGAACTATATCAAAATTAGTTAAATCACTGTGATCAAAATGAATTTACCCAGCCTGTTTGTAAGTAATAAGTTTTCTCTGAATTGAGAGTGGCAGATCAGGGAACAGGTGATACCATAAAAACCCTCTTCTTTATATAAGCTAGCAAGTAGTTCTGCTGGAGAGAGAAGGAAAGGCAGTAGACTGTTGGGATAGGCCTCAGTGTTGATCCTAGAGTGAGTAATGACATTCAGAATTATGAACAACTTGCCTGAATTATTTTAATACCCAGGATGATTAGAGAATGCACTACAAGCTGATATGTTGCTTATTTGTGAAATGAGGTGCTTGGGCTTTAAATGCAAATTGTAAATGTACTCTAAATTGGAAATAATAAATCAAAGGACCATTTTGGTCCAAAGGCACTGACAAAAATGTCTGAATAAAGACAATGATACAACAGGTTAGTATAAGTAGACACTTTTTTTAACTCAAATGTCTTAGCACGATAATTGCTTTTAAGAATGAAATTTGGCTTTAAAAGAGCGTAAGGGAATAGAAAAGAGATATATGATGCTATCAGAGGTATAAACCGTGTTGTAAAGTACACCTTCCATTCCTTTTTGCAAGGAACTTCTTGGCTTCTAGACTCCTTTGGGTTTGAAATATTGCTGTTCAAATTAATTCTTTCTCTTGGTACTCTAAAATCTCCATTCCTCAATTGTTAAGACTAGAAAACATTGTTGCAGAATCCTTTTTCCAGACTTATCCCAGTTTAAAAATGAAAACATTTCTTTAATCATGATTCAGAATGGCATAACTTCCCTTAAGATTTGCAAATATTGGTATCTAAATGCAAATCTGTATATAATTTATATGCTTATGTAAATAATAGGTTGTTTTATATATAAATAGAGTGTACTCAATAGCAAAACCAATTAAAGTAAGAATTGGTATCAATTGGGAAACTAGTTATCTGTCAGTGTTGAAGCTGCTTGCTTGTTAAAGTCAAAGACCAGATGGACTTCTGATGATTTTAACGAAAGGATAAGGACTAATCTAATTGGGTATAAAAATTCTTAAGTAAGAGTGTCTTTAAATTATTTCCTGGACCATTGTGGCTACAATACCATTCTATTGTAAAGATGGAGGACTCCTTATTCAAACAGTTTTGTTTTTAACACAGGACTTCTACATGTTCCATTATGTTCTGGTGAAACTTGGTATAAAGCAGACTTAAATAAAAAATTAGAACCATAAACATGTTCTAAACATTTCCTGCCATTCAAAAAAGATAAAATAATATCCCACTGCATATGTAATAAACCACAGTTTTATTAGCTGAAAGGTGCTCTTTAAGTGTAAGCTATTGGTCTAATTAAAGGATAAGAGCTGATTATGTAAACCTAGTCAAATCTGTGAAAAAGGGGTGGGACCTTTTCTCCTTTACAATGTCAGGAGCAAGTGTATGAAAACTCCCTGAATAGAGTACTCAGCAGAATACTTGGTTCCCACCTTTACACTTTACAGTACTTACCACATCTTAACCTATTCATTTGATCAGACAATTAAAAGCAATCAGAGCAGCTTTAAGAAGCATCCTTAGAGTTCAGAACTTTTTCTTTAGCAGCATAGGTGAAATGAAGGTAGCTGAAGCACTGCTAAGGAATTGCTGGTAATTAAAACATTTCTTAACTATTTTAATTGGACATGGAAATGCTGTTTTAATTTAGGGTAGTAGTTTTGTGGCCTGTCAGACGCAAGGTAGTAAACTATTTTTGGAGAAGACATGATCTGATCCTGGTAAATAATGAAATCACAGGTTCCAAGTTTGATATAAGAACCACAATAATACATTAATATGCTGATCTCATGACTGCTCTTCTCATAGCTTTTTTGAATAACTAAACAGTAGGGATTCACTGATAGAGATTTTGGGGGGCCAACATTTAAGGAGGCATATCAGCCAATACCGATCTGATTTCCGATACAGCTGTGTGCAGCTGGTAAGTCTGTTGCGGTGGAAGGGCAGTGGGGAGAGAATGGGTGTGGGGGTGGGCAGATCAATGCCCCCGTGGTGAGGGAGGGAGGGGGCAGGGGCAGGCGCTGCCCGGCCAGGGTGGAGCAAGGTGCAGGACAGAGCCACAGCTTGTCCAGGGAGAGGGGTGGCTCCCACAGCTGTGTGCACCCTGCGAGGGCATGGGGAGGAGAGGGTGTGCCTATGGGTCAGCACAGGGCAGGGTGGGCGGGCTGGAGCTGTGGCTATGCCAGGCTCTTCTCAGTGGGTCTGGGCTTGGGGCGGTTAGAGGCAGCTCTGGGAGGGGGGCTATGGAGGGGGTTGCAGCCACCCCAAATTTTGCTGTAACCCCACATCCAACACCACCTCCTGCCTGGTGCAGTCCCAGCTCAACCCCTGCCTCCCCACATGTGCTGGGAAAAGCCAGGGCTGCTTCAGGCAGGCGGTACGGGGAATGGGGATACGGTGGAATTTGGGTGGCTGCAGCCCCCTCCATAGCCCCCTTCCAGCACCGCTGCCACCTGCCCTGAGCCTAGCTCCCCCCCCACCGAAGAGCCTGGTGCAGCTCGGGCTTCAGCCTGTAGCTGCAGTCTGCCCTGCATTGATCCAGAAGCACATGTCGTCGTTCCCCCATGCCCTCCCTTGCTGCACACAGCCACAGGAACTGCTCCCCCGATGAGCCACATCTCTGTTCCATGCCTGCCCCATCCCAGCTGGGCAGCACCTGCCCCTGCCCCCTCCCTCTCTCACTGCAGGGGGCATTGTTCGTCTCCCCAACGCCCCTTTCCTTCCCCCCTCCCCTTTCACCACAACAGACTCTGCACCCTGCTGGGCTCTGCTCCTCACTGCCTGCGTGCTGCGCTGTGGCTGCATACACATGATGATATCAATTACAGCTGGGAAGACAAGGATAAAATACACACACCCCTTCTCATCTCCCCCATCTGGTCATTCTGTCATTAGTGATCTTGGTGAGAAATTTTGCTGAAATGGGTAGGGTCAAAGCCTTACCGGTTAGAAATTCAGATGGAATTTTAAGACACAAATCTGAAGCAACACTTACAAATTGCATTTTTATGGAAAGAAGGCAGTAGCTTTTAGAGATAAGTGGGATAAAGTAAAGATCTTAAGATGGGGAAACTATGGATTAATAAATACTGGATCCCTGGTATCTTTTGGAAGAGATACCCATGACCACACGTATTTGCACACATTCAGCCTGCAGATGAGGCAGTGTAGCTGCTCTGGGAGCATTCCCACTGCAGCTGCTTTTGAGACTTCTGTCTGTTTGAGAGTGGCTGCTGTGGATTCTCTTGAATGACTTCTTAGCCCCACTTTTGGGTTTTAGCACATGTAGGTGGGCAGGGCATGTTTGGTGGCATCTGCTGAAACATTAAGTGGATGTATTATGGATGTATTATGGATTTATCCCATGCTACCCCATTAAAAGAAATGGTTCAAAAACCTGAGGGCCTGTAGGGTTAGATTAGTGGGAATGAGGAAGAGGGTGTTGAGGTATGACTGAGCGGGGAGCTGTAGAAGGGAGGGTAAAAAGGGAGGGAAGTAGATGAGAATGAGACAGTGACAGGAAATGTGCAAGTCAGGTAGGGAACGACAGTGGTCGATGAAGAGCAATCAGTGTGGGGTAAGAGATGGAAGAGCAGACCATAAATCTAGACAAAAACAATCTAACGAATTGGCTAGAGTGATCAATTTTGCTAAACAAACAAGAACAATTGATCAAAAAGTCTGAGTAAGTGACAGACAGTGTGCAATTAACATAGATGTGCAGTGAAACATTATATCTGGAACCTTAGTTCTGCCCTGTTTTGAACATGCTATAGTCTTTTTAAATAATCAATCCTACTTTTCATGTGTCATAATATTTTTCTTCAGCCTCCAAATACAGAACTGCAATATCTTCCATGAATCAATCTTGTGAAAGTAAATGATTCTTTTACAGGATGATACAAATTAATAATGTGAGGGAAGAAAATATGTTGACATGTTAATTAGCCACAAAATTAGGAGGCCTTTACTTTGTATTTAACCTATTCATCTTGATCTTCCTCCAAGAAATCCTGTGCTGCTGGTTGAAAAGAAGATGTGGTCTGAGATGAGGTGGATGAAAATAATTAAATGTGCAAAGCAAATATGTGTTAACAAGTAAGATCATTGGCCACTGAGAATTATACTTCTTAAATTTTTGCATAGTCAAAATTTACAAGATGCCATATAGATAACACTGAGAAATTTTATAGAATTTTTGAGAAAATATATGATTTTGTCCTTTGAAAAGTACAGAAATAAAGCTGTACAAACTTAGCGTTGGTTCTTAATGTTACAGTGCTAAAAACTCAAATGTTAGTGCTCCGTTTAACCTATAGCACTTAATGCATGCATGCTAACACACACACACACATACACTATATGGTGTTAAATGCTATCTGTTAAAATGATATATGTAGAGATAGATCTCTCTCTTATCTATAGATATATCATATATGATATATTTATCATATATATCAATAATTATGTCAATGTATTATATTTATACATTTACATAATACATATTTACATGTTATATATTATAATGTGAAATAACTATATCACAGTATTTATAATTAATATAATGTATATTATATGTTATATATATAAAACACGCTCTGTGTGTGCATGTGTGTGTATATATATGTGTTTTTTACATGGATTGTTAAATTTAGGCTTGTTTTGTTACCTGTAAGCCAGGGATATTCAATTTATGAGCAGCCGCTTGAATTTCACACTGTGTGGGCCACCTTCCTACTCCATCCCTCTGCACTGTTGCAGTTTACCAGCCTGGCAGCACCTGGGATGTAAGTGGACCTGCATCCACTGCTGCCTGCCCATGGACATGGGTCCTGGCTCCAGCCCCCCTTCCTCTACCTTGGGGTCCCAGCTCTCACCTGCTGATTTATGGTGGAGTGCTGCTGCAGTGCTGCCTTCAACAGCTGCTCCAGAATGGTCCATTTCCTCTGGTGTGCTGTGCTGTGGTGCCCAGTCCCCACTTGCCTGTGGACCCCGGCCCCCATCCTGCTTGCATAGTTTCTGGGCTATAAGGGGCTGAGTGAAGCGGGGGGGCATGCAACAGATGGCTTCCTCCATTGCGGATAGCAGGGGAGTGCTTGTGCTCAAAGGACAGCTTTACTGTCAGCCATCAGAAGCTGAGTGAAGGGCATTTTGCAGGGTGTTGCTACTCCATTCTTTTTTTTTTCCTGCAGTTTGGGACGTCAACAGGAGTGGATTCAGAGGACCAGGAGAGCATAATGACACTTATAAATTTAAGTCATTAAGCAGTACATCAGGGATGGGCAACCTTTGGCATTTGTGCCACAAGTGGCACAGGGTGGGGGCAGACAGGCAACACAGTGGTAGATAGAGAAGGAAGCAGAGCAGCAGATCAGGCAGGTGAAGGGGATCAAAGTGATCCTCAGGGAGGATGTGTGGCTGATCTGTAGAACATGTGCCAAAAAGCTTGGCCCCTACTGCATTAAATCATTAGGCTACAGAGTACGATAAATTTCAGTAAGCTACCTCACCATCTACTAGGAGGCCTAGGGAGGATATTTGTTGGTTGTCTGTTGATCCTTTAGTGTATTGGTTCTGGCACCTCCTTACTAATTTATGTAAACATGGGTAAGAAGGCATACATTTCCATCTAAACATATGTAGTTAAGGAGGACATTTATTTCAACAGGATTCTAGCAGAATACACATCTATTTTTTCTTGTCAAAAGGCAAAACATCAGGTTGTTAAAATTTTTACTTCTAACTATTGCTAGTGCTTTCAAAAAAGCAGTTATCAGCATTCGGCTTAGATAAATACTGTTGACCTTCACTAACACTTTTAGTTTTGCTTTTGCTTTTACAGGAATTATTATCAGGTGCATCCTGAAAGGGTTTTTCAGACTCCTAAGACCAGACAGCTTTTGGTGTTTGAGCTCAATCATTAAGGATGCAAGTATATATCTAACTGGTCCAGTTCGATCATGTCTGACATTGAAGTTTCTTTGAACAATTCTTCCAAGAAGGTGCCTTGAATTAAAAAGTCATCTTGGCAGATTAAATAAATCCTTAAACTAGAGTTTACATGGTGCATCTTGTACCTCTCTGAGGAGACTTGTTGCCTGAGGTCAGAAAGGGCAATGTTGTTCAGAACTGGCAACCAGGCCAAGTTGATTGGATTAAGTTTCTGATTCATATTTATCGTGTTTCATTCAATCAGGTGTTTACTAGTCTTGTGTGATTAAAAACTGAGCCACACAAGGGCATGATACTCTGCTTCAGAAGAGATTAGGTAAACTCAGAGGAGGTCTGGGCAATGCCTCCCCAGGTTTAATCAGTTAGTTTGCTTATCTGTTTATTTCTTGTCTTTATTTGACTAAAGTCTTGGTGATGTGTTCCTTCAAAGTCAGTATAATACCTGGATATGCAAGCATTGGGTTGTGGTCCAACATATCTGCTCTCAGAAAACTTTTGAACTCTGGCCTCCATGCAATTTTTGGATGGAAGCATCTTGAAGCTTGCCTTTGATACTTGGTTCAATCATCATTTTGCAGTTACAGGCCGTCTGTTGCATTGCTAGTCAGGACTTCTATATCACTGCAGTCTTGTCTTTATACTGCTAGGCATGATTTTTTACATTAAGCCTAACTTGCCCCTGTTATAATCAGTAGTGACAGCTTTGAAAAACTTTTGTGTAGGGTTGCAAAGGCAAAAAACATCTTACTAAATGTCCTTAAACCAGCACGGCTACAACCTTACACCCCTGTTACTAAATGTATTGTTTCTATTAAGGAAATAGAGGTTAAACAGGTTTATAGAGCCATCTATTGAGGCTGTTCAAGGGTAGCTGATCATGAACTGCTTTTGAAATTCTTATTGGTATTTTATTTTTAAACAAGACTTCTAGTCTGTGATTCTATTTAAGGATTATAACCACACTTGATTAATTACAGAACGTTAACTTCAGTGTATGGAATTTCAGTCAGAAAAACCAAAGTAATTACTGTTGAAAATAACTTCCTAGTTTCTGACTGCAAAGAAGTTACTGACTTTCAGGCTAGGGACAGACGTTACACATAAACCGATTTAATTGATCAGAAACTGGTTTATACCTGTAACAGAATAGATGTTCAGTGCATATAAACCAGTTTTGAAAATGGCTGAAACTGGTTTGAGATGAACCTGACTGAATGTAGTATCAGACTTAACTGATTTGGGTCAAACCAGTTTATGTAATGTCTGTCCCAGCCCCCACTGCTGGTTTAAGATAAACCAGATTCCCCCAGCATCCCGGCATGCTCTCCAGACTGAGCAGGGCTCTCTGCTCTGCAGCAGGGCTGGCCCCTCACCTCTGCTTCCTGGCCAGAGCTCTGGCAGAGACTGCAGCCGTGTGCCTGTCTTCTCCCTGTTAAGCAGGGATTATTCCCCCCACCCATCTGCTTTAGACACCTCAGCATTAGCTAGCAGACCACAGGCTGGTTACAGTCCCTGCTGTGGCAGAGGGCCAAGGCAGACAGGTTTTTCAGAGCTAATCAACAAGTAGTTTAATGTCCTCCCTTGGAAAAGCTGTTTAAGAAGAGTTTGAACTAATGGAAAGAGGCTTTGTTTTCTTAATGGGTTAATGAACACTGAGTTAGAGGTGTTAAACCAGGGATAGGCAACGTTTTTTGGCTGGAGTGCTGAAAAAACCACAATGTCTACCTTGGAAGGTGCCAGAGCGCCAACATGCCAGAGCCTGGAGCAGCTGTTTGCAGCCTCCTGGCTGCAGCCGGCCCACGGAGCCCGATCTGCTTGCAGCCTCCCACCTGCTAGCTGGGAGCAGCCTGGGCTTTGTGCCTGGCAGCAGCTGCTTAGAGCCCAGGCTGGGGGTGGTGTGCCAAGTGAAATGGCCTCTCATGCCATGCTCAGCGTGAGTGCTGGGGGTTGCTGACTGCTGTGTTAAACATTCCTTTCTGGGCTGTTCAGGAGGGGGGACCCCTCCCTAATAAGAGCATCCTGACGGGGCCTGGCCACACCCCACTCAGCTCAGCATTGTGGAAGCAAGGGAGGGCTGCTCTAGTGCCCCCCAGCTTCTAGCCTGAGCCACTGGAAATGTGCAGAGAGAATGTGTGTGTGGTTACAAACCGGTTCAGCCTAGCCAGGTTAGACTAACCTGCAAAGATGCAATCAGTTCAGGATCAGGTTTTTTGAATGTGTGTCCGTAGCCTTAGAGGAAAGAAGTTTCCCTTGTATAGGATGGATCACTTTAGGAAGTACTGCAGTTTGTGACCTGCATTTGTAATTTGTAGATGGATCTTAACTGTGGTACTGAAAGTTTTAAGTTATTAACAAAAATGTTCTAATTAATGAAGAGTACTAGTAAAAAATCTTTCCATTTTTAATATTCCTTTTCTTAAAATGGAATTAACTGAGTCTGTCTGGTGCTGAAGGAAGCTAAGGTTTAATACTGTTCAACTGAGTAGAAAAAGAACATATTAAACCACATGTACTGCAAGCTGATGCGAAAAGACTCTCCCTGTTGTGCTGGGGTGCCTTTGATTTCGGTGTCCTTTGATATTGGGGGTATGGCACTGCAATTCTATTGCTCATACTATGCTAAGGAACAGCAAAGTGAAACTGCCAATCCTAGGATGATCCTGTGGCAAATGGTCAATTTTACCAGATTTGTACCTCTTCGTGTTTGAGGAAGGAGTGCCGCAACAGAGATGTACCGTTGCTGAGGAATATATTTGCATTTGCTGAAAATGATTTGAGTATCTAGCTTTTGGTATTTGTCCTAATTATTAAGCACTTGCTAAAATAACTGCTTATCTTGGACTTAAATTGAAAGGTAAAATGTGATCTCGTAGGCTCTTTAAAAACTTTGAACTGTTTCAGTTTTAGATTGGAAGTGAAACATAAAGTTGGTTCAGGTGACTCTGTGGACACAAATGTGTTCATGGGGTTTGAAATGCCATTCTCCCAATGAGAATGCCACTTCCAATCCCTTGCTTTATGCTGAACCTAGTCTGAATTGGTGTCCTGTTTGCAAGCGAATATTAAGGAGAAAGCATGGGGGTGGGTTTAGCTCCTTGGCTTTTTAAGCTTAATTTCTTTCAGAGTCCCATTTCCCCCCACTTCTCTCCAGCAAAGCAGACTGGAGCATTTTCTGCACTATAGTCTCTTCTCTAAAATTAGATTTTTTTCCTACCAGTTAGCACTTGAAGTGTGGAGATACAAGACATTATTGCCATTTTAATCACCCCAGAATATTTTTAGGGGAAAAAATAGTGTCGAAACAGTGTAGGATGTAAACAGACGGATTAGTCAAACATTTTCTCAGTTACGGTTTACAAAAAAATCTTACCAGGCTCATTAAGATGAATTGCTGCAGTTGTTTCTCCCATTAATCTGTCATATCACAATTTATGTATCACTCAATAGAAACCATTCTCAGCTTCTATGGAGAAACAACAAATGTGGGTGTTATGTGTACTTCGTATATTGTCTCTCTACATTCTAGCTTTTTATGGCTCATATTTAAGTGGAGTTGGGTATATGTAATTAATGCTACTGGAGGATACCAGATACTATCAGATTAAAATGACACCTCACTACATTTGTGTGGCTATGGTTAATTTTCATAGAATTCAGACTTCAAAAGAAGATGATGGAGGAACTTTTTTGTGGGACAAAACTAACAAATAGCTCCCAGGTTAAAAAATTTGCTGTGCCAGGAAGCTTGTCCCTACAATTGCTATGTCTTGATTTTTGGAAATGAAAGGGCAAGTAATTGAATTTTGGTGGGGCTGTGCAGAGTAGTATGGTACTGACATATAACATTCTATTTTCTGTTAGAATTTGTAAGTAAGCTTTTTCTCCTTTTTGGATGCTTTTTAGTCTCTTCCCAAAAACTTTTGCAGAACTTCTTCAGACAGCTCCACTTCAGATGAATGTTAAATATTTGTCCAACACAAAACTAGCTGTTATCAATTTTGGCAGCTTTCAGTGAGCAGTATTCAAAGAAGAAGTGCTTCCCTCAGTGCTTCCTTTTTGCTTTAAGATCTTCAAACAAGTTAATTTTGTGGAGTTCATCTGTTTGCCCAAGTTACTTATCTCTGTCATACAGGCTGGAGGATTTGCTTCATGATCTAACATTTGGGGATTTGGTAGTGAACAGATGAGGAGGCAGAAAGTGTTTGCACAAGTTTTTCATCGTAGTTGTTTGGCAACTTCTGCATTCCTTATTTCAGACTTTGTTTTTGGGATGATACAGATAGAAAATAAGCTAATTTTTAATGTGGCTGAACTGGGAAAATAGATTTTTACGTGCTGTCACAAAGGATGACATCTTATACTCCTTGAAAGCTTGCTGAAAGAGTTGATACTTGTGATAATAGGGTGTGATTTAAGTGGGCATGATAGTTCAGTTTCCTAGCCTCGTGCATATCTGGTGAGGAATAAGTGTATAAATAAATATGTAAATGCTCTTGCTCAGTATCAGATCAGTATCCCTTGCTCTCATTTTTACATAGAGATTTTTTTTCAGCTCTTTCATTCCATTCATACAATTGTCAACTGCAAATAGTTTTCAGTGTGCTAACTTTAGTTTCAAAGCAAGAATAGATTTCTTTTGTTTATATTTTCTTGAAAGTTTGAGGCCTAAGAGTGCTGTTTGCAGCACAGGGACATTTGTTTTTACTTTTTTAGATGCTTTACCAAAGACTTTTTAAATTTATGTTTGTATAATGTGTAGGCTGTTTTTGTAAATCTCAAATTATTGAGAGTACTTTTTACCTTAGGTGTAAGGAAAAAGGTAGCAAGGAAGATGAATAGAAAGTTTTAGCCTTTAATTGAAGATACTAGGCTACTGATAGCCTCTTTAAAATTCCACTTCTAAGTCAGTAAACAAAAAGATAATTTTATTTAAAAATTGCTGTCCTTTTGTTGCTTGGGATTTTCCTTGGCCTCTGTCAAATGGAATGATCTGAATCTGAAATACAAAAAACCAAACATCAGTGTTCTGGAGGTAGGGACGTCTTTTAGCTCACCTCTGTCCTACCAAAGTGGGAAAATGCAACTGATCTCTTCCACGTTGTACAAATCTTCTTAAGCCACTTTCAATTCATACTTCTTGCATTGGTTTGTCAGGCCATCTCAGTGCTGACTTAGCTCTTTCTCTACCCTTTTGTAGGTTATCAGAACTTTCTGCATTAACAAAACCTCATGTCTTGCAGTGACTCTGTAAAGGTCAGATACTGCTGAACACTTTTTAATTGACAGTAAACTTGTTAGTCAAGTGACTAAATGGAAAGGGTTATATTCATACCTTCTTGAACTAAATTTGATTAAAAACTATTTTTGTACAACTTAAATATTTATTCTCTGCATCAAGAATAAACAAGTTCACATACAAGAAATGTGGCCTAAGAGTAGTTCTGCCTTCAGTTCTTGCCCAAATTTAAAAAAAATACAAACAGTAGGCACTTGGACTATTTCATTTAATTTCTGCAGAGGCTTTGTTTTGTATCTTGGAAGCCTCAGTAAACAGCAGCATATTTATCTGTATACCAGACTGCACCTTTGCTGTGACATTGATCAGATTTGATTGTGAAGTACTGTAGTGTGCTGGCTGGTGCCACCACAGTAGAAGATTGACCAACAATCATACTTTGAATCAATTAACACTTTGTTCTTGTAAAAGATGACTACATTTTTTAGAGGGTGGGGGGGAGAGGTTGGAAGCAAATCACTTGCACATCATGCCACAAAGATGGTTAATTTAATGTTGTCAAAATATGACTGCCAGTTCGTGGAAACTTCTCAAAGAAGGGTGGTGCTAGTGACATACTTGAAATAGTGTATTTTTATGCTTATTCTGCACTTTAGTATGAGTGATATGTTTTGGGACATCATCTGGAGTTGGATTGTCTGTATTGACTGCTGCTTAGCTAAGAAGAGGTATAACACTTTGTAACTATATACTGGTGACACTATCATGCGACAAGTTTCACTGTCATGAAGGTTCTAAACTCATTTTAATTTTCATTGTAAATGTCTAATGCACAATCATATAGCAATACAAATATATGTCCATTTCCCCCTCCATATTGCTAGGGGTGGAGAACAGTGGCGCTCCTCCTGGAGGTGGGGAAATATTACTTCCACATTAACCCCTGTATGGGTCCATCACAGGCATTCAGGCTCTAGTTCTTAAGTCCCATTTCAGTTTTACCTTATCTCCTTTAAAACAGCTCTGACCCCCTAGCCTGTGCATATTCACACAGACCTAATTTAGGCCATGGATAGGCGTCACATTCATACTGCTATGTATGTTCTTGTACTGCCACAAAAAAATGAATGTACAGCCTTTCAAGCAGTGTAGCACAAACAGAATGAGAAAAAAAAAGAAAACAAGCTTGACAAAATAGTACCTCTTTCAAAGAGGAGCTTGGTAGTACAATGTTTTGTAGGCACTACATGTAGTGCCTGTGCAGTTGCACATAGTCCTACAAGGTGTGTCCCAGTCCTCCACCCTTCTAAAATGCATAAAGTCAAGGGTTTTAAGGGCAGTGTATCTGCTTAAATTATAATATATGGTATGGTTAAATTATGTTAATGTTTTAGTAGCAAAGCAGATTGTCCCTTCTATTTGTCTACTTCTGTAATATCACTTGTAATACTGTATATCACCTTTGGTAAATTAGTACATTCTGATTGTTGCCTAAAAAAATACCAAACTGAGAAATTGATTGATAAGTTACTAATGCTTTTTTACATTACTAATTCATGAGATTGTGAGTTCTTCGATTTAAAAACATTGCAAATTCTTTTATTAAAAACCCCCAAATCCACATTTTTCTGCAATTAAAATGAAACACCACTATACATATAGGTATCAGTTGAACACAATGTTTTATTGATATATTTACAATTTTTAAAGCAATTTAGAAGTTTACTAGTGCCTCAGTCATTATAATAAAATAAATTTTAAATACCTATATAATTTGGCAATTGAATTTTGTTGGTTTTTTTTATCATGGAAGATCAGAGCCCCCCCCCCGCCCCCTTCACTTCCTAGGATGTGGGTTCAGCTGTGGCTATCCCCCATTGCTTTGTGGTACTGAGTAGCCCTGATATGCTGGTGTCCTGCCCATGTTATTGCCCCTCACATCCAAGCTACAGCCACGGCGACACCAGCCCTGCCAGTGCCCATCACTCCTGACCAAGAGCCCAGAGTGTGCCCGAGCCTTACTGCTCTCTTGGTGCCTCTCTCTACTGACCTCCAGCCCTCCACCCCCCTCAGCCATGCTGGTGCCCCTCACTCTGGACCCACAGCACCCTGCTCCCACCAGCCCAGTCAGAGGGGGCCCCCATCTGTCCCCACACCACCCAGCCTCATGCGGACTCACATGAGGGTGGTCTGCAGGGACACGGCAGGGATTACCTCTGCTATGAGGTACATGCAGCGTACCTAATGTGGAAGCACAGGCAGTGGCTAGGGCACTATATGCTGCTCCATGCTGCTGGCTGGGGCTGAGGTTGGGACTAGGGCGCAGTGGGGAGGACCAGCACCGTGCTCTACAGCATCCATATGAAGTGGAGTGCGGCTCTGGCCCAGCCACACTGAGCAGCAGAAGGGTGGCAAGGGGCTCCAGGCCCCATCCCGCCTGGGCCAGAGCATGGCAGCTGTGGCAGCTCTAACTTGTGCGGGCCACAGCGGAGCAAGTTTGGCCTTGGGCTGGGGTTCCTGTGCCATGTCAGATGTTCTGACCATGGCCCCCCTCTGGGAAGCATCTCCCAGCTGCTCCATCCCGCCCTTGACAGCACAGACACCGGCCCATGGCGCTGCCAGCCCGGACATGTAGCTCCTCGCCATTACCAAAGGACCCACCCACTCCCTTTCTTTGCTGGAGGGGCAGACATCTACAGCCAGGCCCCACTGGCAACAACACAGAGTTGGACTCATTGGCAGTACTGAGAGCTGTCTAAGACCTCCTGCTGTGTTGCAGCCCTGGTGCCTGGACATCTTCCTCCCTCCATTCCCTCTGTGCATGCTCTCTCTCTCTCTCTCTCTCTCACTCTTTCTCCATATAGCCCCCTGGACATTTCCTAAGCCCTGCCCCTTTAACCCCCACGCCCCATGAACTTAACTGTATCTAGCTGCTGGAGCTTCTCTCACCACCATTCATGGCTATATGCTGGCCATGTATGGGCATGTGCACACACTCTTGTTTTGTCTCCTGCTTCCAGTCACCCTCCCCCAGCTCCTCCCAGCCCAAAGTCTGGAAGGAGGCTGCAAGGAGAAACCCATGGTTTCCTCTTCTAAAGGGGAAAATCTGTGATTTTTCTCCTTAAAATGAGGCAATCTGTGTTTTTCCACAGCAAACAGAAAACCTGGATCCCTGCTAATGATTTACAGAATGGATAAATTATTTTAACCTTTCTAAAAAAAAAACCCTTTGATTTCTTTTGGATGTGAATGGAACAGTGTAAAAACTGTTCTTGAGCTTGCTAGCCATGTAGTTAAATATTTAAATATGAATATATATGCAAAACAGAGTATTAGTTTAACTTTCTATCCATGAACTTGAAACTTTCTTCCGTATATTTCTAGATTTTTTCAGTAAGTTATACATTTTTACCTTTTTCCAAATCAAATAAAGATATGAAGGGTCTGATGCCAATTTCAGGAGCCTTTGCCTCGACTATAGTACTACCAGAGAGTGCTAGAATCTTTTTAATGTACAACTCCTCTCCCCCACTGCTTGAAAAATGCACAGTTGAAAGGAGTTCACTAAAAATCTCTAGCAAAGCTTATCCCTAGGAGGAAACGGATCATAAATGTTTTTGTTTTCAGTTCAAATTGTGATTTTTTTTTTTTTCCCCTCAGAAAGTTGTGGTCGTGTAAAAAATCTTGGTTTTGTTTTTGGGGTTTTTTTTGTATTTTATGGTATTTTAGTAAAATGGTTGAACTAATCTGTTTCAGTGATACTTGAACCAGTGTTTTCCCCCAAGTTAAACTATAAAGTGTAATGACTTTAAAAAAAGCCCTAACATTGGTTGCTAGTAGAGAAATATTTTGAAGGGGGAGGGGGCAGAAACTAAAATTTAAAAAATAACATGAAACTTATCAAATGTATTAGTAAATTATGTCCAGTGAAAACTAGAACAAGTTTGCCAAGCATTTCCATTATAAATTCCTAAGGGGATATTTTGGTTTTAAAATATAGAAAAAGTGAGTATATTAAAGCTCTGTAATTAAATATGAAACTTGTATTTAAAATAGGACTTTATATAACCTGAAAAATGCACTTATACTAAATGAGCAAGAGGCTAATAAAATGCCTCTGAATTGTACTAATGTCCTTAAGGTAAAATACCTGGCTGTGTCATTAATGTGGTATTATTTGGTAAATGGGAAGGCATAATGTAGAAAAGTCACTGAAGTTTGTAAATAATTCCTTTGTTGTTTTCTTGGTGGCTGTTATAAAATGCAAAAGCTTACTGGACATGTGAAAGTGCCAGAAGCTGAGCTTGTTGGAGGTTAATTATCCAAGTAAGATGCTGTGTATATTTTGAGGATGGATTTGTTTCTAGGATGACTCTTATTTTTTCAAGCTGGCTAAGCTTGTGCCTTAAGTTTCTATCCTTGGCCAGGTGCGCCAGAGCAGACCCACAGGCTGTTTGTACTCAGGGGTTTGTGACCGACTGTTTAACCTAGATTCAAGAACAGGACCTATGTCTGAATCTCCTAGCCTAAATCTGATTCTTGGGTAGGTAGGAATTTGTTTTAAGTTAAAGACAGGCAATCATCAGCCAATTTTTGTCTTTTTTTAGGTGTGCTTCTCATGAGATTACTCATCCCCTCTTCTTGTTGTAAAGTTCATGCTACCAGAGCATCATAATTAAGTATGAGCCACTTTCTAACTATAACATTCATTGTTTTCATTTTCTCAAGTCATTTTTATACTTAGAGTAGTTAAACTTAGTTTATGGTAAGGTAAAGGTTAAATTACTACTCTGAAAATACATTTCTTTTTATTAAACAAAAATTTAAATAAGTAGTACCTTACTTTAGATGAATTATAAGTTCTCAGACTCAAAAGGTATTGATCATTACTATCATCTTCTGGTTGAGTAAAGCTTATAATCTGATGTACTGATCCACTTTTGATTACCACTTCAGTCACTGAGAGCCACTGGGACTTGAGGACTTGATAGTGACTAGGGAAGAAAGATGGTGGAAATATTTCCCTCTAAAGTTAACGAAGTGGCCTAGGATTCTATTGTGTTAGATGCTGTCCAAACTTAAATGATGTTCGTTGCTCCAGAGGAAAGTCTGTGTCCTTCTAAAAACTTGCAGTTCTTGACTTTACCTTATCTTTCCCCTTCTGTTCTTGAATAGCCTCTGACTAAAGAGGGTAAGACAAAATGAGAATTTATTTCAAGATTTTTCATACTATACACTGAGGAATGCTTTTGCCAGGGATTTAGGACTTTGACTGCATGCTCATCCTTGCTAGTTTAGGAAGCAAGATATTGGTTGGCATGTAGTGCCCTGAGTTGGTCAGCAAAAACTTTGACTACACTGGCTACAGAAATTTCTTCCTGGGGTCCCACTGGGTTATTTGGCCATGAACTTGTATTTCTCCCCGATGACTATTGTTTTTTGAGTAAAAATTAGTGTTTGTCACTTCGAAGTTCAGATGACCTATGTAAAGGGACCAAGGTTTTGATCGCGTACAGCAGTATGGGATTCTAAGCAAGAAATCTTATTGTTCTAATGGATGGTGAGCTCTTTGTTGGAGGCACAACCCATTCTTTCACACAACTGTTTGTGAAGCACTGGTTTTATTGTAGCTTTTGCTAATTAATTTTAGGATTGCTGTCAAGTCAAGTTATCTGTTTAGGAGTTTGGCCGTGTTACCACACAACAGTTTTCCGAATCAGCCTGTTTTCGAAACTAGGTCTCTTCATTTTTTCAGTGTCCACAAATTTAGTTATCTTTGAAGTCTGTAGCTTGTATGTTCCGGTACATCTTAGTAATCTTATTTATTTGAAGCAACCTTATTACCAAGAAAATTGTGCATTGAAAATAGTAACCTTTCTGAAAGGGAAGGCATTTGTACAGTGTAAAATAAATTGCTGTTACATTGTCATATGGGGAATATAGATAATGAAATAGGATACATACATTAGGTATTTTGAAAAAGACAGGGTAGTTACTACCAATGCATTTTAAAAGGATGTTTCAGGGAGTGAAATCTGTACAGTTTGAGGAATTTCGACTGAGGA